GTATATATATGATCTACACATCAATACCTTTCAGATGGTATATAATAAGTATGTATATATATATAGATTCAATCTTTATTTCCAATTTTTAAAATAAAAGTTATTGAATAATTTTTATTTTTCAATTTATATAATAAAAATTGAAAATAAAAGTTACTGCGTAATTTTTATATAAAAATTGATACTTAATAATTATTACTAATTTTTTATTATTAAAATTAATTTGAAGTATTAAAAATCAATTTTTTTTCGTAAAAATTGAAAAAAAAACATTTATCTTGTTTTTGAATTCGCCATGAATATTTAACTTATGACAATTTTTTCCAATTTTTTTGGAGACTGTTTTGGGCTTCAATTTTTTTAAACTCATAATAATTATTTGCGGTCCCTGGTACAAACTGCCAAAAATACGGACACACAAGAAACTACTGTACGAGAGATCCCATTTGCGTAAAATGCGCTGGTAAGCACCAATCAGCCAATTGTCATCTACAAATAACCACCTCTTACAAGAGCCAAATAAAATGTGCTCTCTGTAGCGAGAACCACACCTCCAATTATAAAGGCTGTATGGTCTACAAAGCCCTACAACTCCAAAAAACACCCTAGTCTCCGGCAAAAGGAAATACCACAAATCCAGACTCCACTCGAAATTGCCGCAAAAAGTACACCTGACTTGATCAAACCCAAAATATCATACGCAGAAGCTATAAAAAAAAACAAACCTCCAACATCAACTCACCAAACTTTCCTACACAACGACGAGCCGTTCATCCCAACAAACGCAAACAATAACCAACAACAAGAGGACATGCAAGAGCTAAAGACACTTATGAAACAACTGATTGCACAAATGTCAAGCATGATGAACATAGTTACTATACTTGTATCCAAACTTGACAAACAATAATTTGATTATCGCAATCTGGAATGCAAATGGACTATCGCGCCATATTCTAGAAATAAAGAACTTCCTACGAGAAAACCAGATTGACATAATGCTCATCTCAGAGACCCACGCCACAGACAAAACATACATCAGCATTCTTGACGATACCATATTCTACACAAACCACCCAGACAACAAAGCCCATGGAGGCACAGCGATCATAATCAAAAATGACGTAAAATGTGTAGAGGAAGAATGCTATAAGGCTCCAAACATACAAGCAACGACAATATCAATCTCGGACCAATCGGGACAGTTAATCATTTAGGCTGTTTACTGCCCACCCAAATTTAATAACACGAAAGAACAATACATACCTTGACTACCTAAAATCGCTTGGGAATCGATTCCTGGCGGGAGGAGACTAAAACGCCAAACATGCCATGTGGGGATCGCGTCTGACAAATGCAAAGGGAAGACAACTATACGAAACTATCAAAGCCCATAATAGCCTTAGAATAAGTACAGGAGAGCCAACTTACTGGCCATCTGACACAAAAAAACTTCCCGACTTGATTGACTTTTGCATTACCAAAAACTTGACACACAAACGTAATAATAAAGTCAAGCCTGGACCTATCATCAGACCACTCACCAATCTTAGTAACCATAAAAAGCACACCAAACCTGACAAGCAAGGATTTCTGTACATTCCTTTTTTGAGAACTGCAGCACAAAGTCAAAAAATGTTGCATTCCAGCAAGCAGCGCGGCTTCGGAACGTAAATTTTCAAACGCAAGAAATTTTTACAGAATAATTACAGAAAATAGTTGTCAAATAGCCACTAATTCGGAAAATATTAATAAAAAAAAAAGGTTTTGCATTCCAATTTAAATTAGTTGTAAGTTATTGTTAATTTAGAAATAAATAAAATAAAAACCATAAATATAAAGCCTATTCGGACTCGAAGAAAATTCACTGCATTTAATTTGTTTTTAATTCCTTTTATTTATATTTGCAACTCGAATCATTCGAATGAAACGTCTCTGTTTTCAACGTTCTCAATCTTCTACCTGCCCTTTGTGCAAATGAGTAAGCGAAAGAGAGCCAACCCTCTCACTCCATGTTGGCTTTGCTCTCAAATTCACTCAACTCATTTTGAGCATTGTGCATTTGAATGTGGGTTTTTTGCCACTCATGCAGATGTCTAATGGATACTATGGTCTCCCTAAAAACAAACGAAGAACTAGACTCTGCTATAATGCACTTAAACGACAACATAATTAAAGCTCTATGGCAATCGACGCCGGCTCTGACCCTCGTAATAACCAAAAGGACTCCATCACACATAAAAGACAAAATCAAACATAAACGCCAACTAAGAAAAATATGGCAGTCCACCAAGCACCCAAATGACAAGACCAACCAAAACCGTGCAATAAAAGATCTCAAACAAACGCTACAAGAGTACAACGAAAGCCAAATCAGGAGTCAGCTGGAAAATCTGGGAACAACGACATCTACAAACTACTCCCTATGGAAAGCAACTAAAAAACTGACAAAATCAATTACACATAAACATCCAATAAAGACAAAGAAAAACTCATGGGCAAGAACAAACAAAGAAAAAGCTGACACACTGGCCGAACACTTTGAGGAAATTTTTACGAACAGTATGGACAACCAAAACATTGAGCTTCCATCACATTTATCCAAACCCAACTGTGCAATCAGAAAAACGACGATATACGAAATAAGAGAACAAATATTAAAAGTCAAAGACAAAAAGACACCGGGCTATGATCAAATCAGTGGTAAAACACTAAAAGAGCTGCCAGACAATACGATTAGGTTTATAAGAGACATTTTTAATGCAGTGATAAGACTTAAGCTCTTCCCTTCGACGTGGAAAATTGCCCAGATTACAGCAATCCCAAAACCGCATAAAAGTGTAGCTCTTGTTAGCTCATATAGACCAATCAGCCTGTTACCAATTTTATCAAAAATCTTCGAAAAAATTTTACTTGACAGAATCAACCCTATCTTAGTAGAACAAAATGTAATCCCACCCCACCAATTTAGTTTTCGAAAAAAACAATCAACGGTGCAGCAAGTGCACAGAGTTATAAACAAAATATCAGAAGACTTTGACAACAAGAAATTTTGCGTAGCAGTATACATGGACATTGCAAAAGCGTTTGACAACGTATGGCTTACAGGACTACTCCATAAGCTTCACAACATCCAACCACTTAACCTATTCACCATACTAAAATGTTACTTGACCAACAGATATTTCTATATCAAGTGCGAAGATGAATGTTCAGATCTTATGTCTGTGGCAGCGGGTGTACCCCAAGGCAGCGTTCTAGGACCAATTTTATACCTTGTATACACAGCAGACATCCCAAATCCACTGACCCATGGTTCCATGATTGCAACCTTTGCTGACGATACCGTGCTAATGGCCTCTAGCTACACAAAAAAAAAAAGAGCAGCAAACACACTTCAAAAGATCTTAACAACAACAATGTCATGGTTTGAGAAATGGGGCATTGAAATAAACAAGGACAAAACCCAACAGGTGATATACACAAAAAAGAAAATAACTACCCCAACAAGAATCCTGAAACTAAGTACAAGCGCCAAATACCTGGGACTCACTATTGACTCAAAACTCACGTGGAAAAAACATATAATAAACAAACGAAACGAAGTAAAAAACAAATTTCGACAACTCCATTGGCTTCTGGGGAGACAATCAATATATCAATCAATATAAAACAATAAAAAGACCAATCTGGACATATGGAATAGAAATATGGGGAACAGCCAGCAAATCCAACCTCATCATAATACAAAGAAAATATTAAGAATAATAACTAACTCAGACAGATACACAACAAATGACCACATCCACAGAGAGCTAAGCACACAGACGATCCCAGAAATAATTAAGCAGAGTTGCATAACCCACATCCAAAAATTACTTGCACACCAGAATCAAAGCCTAAGAGACATTCCGAGAAGAGAAGCACTACCAAGAAGACTAAAAGGGAGAACTCCCACAGCACTAGTCCTAATCTGCATTGGATGTGTAATTTATGCCTTAATTCCTATTCCGATAGATTTTACTGTCGAAAACTAAAATGAAATTTTTAACTATTCGAGGTCTGTTCAAAAAGTATCGCGAATTTTGAATTTTCGCGGGTTACCTCATATTGAGTTTCGATTTTTTTGTGGCGTTATGTTGGTACTCATGTCTCTCACTTATGCCGACAAGCTCGGCCATTTTGAATGTTCACTTAATTGTTAACAGCTGCTTTGCTTGCACGTGTTTTGGTCGTCTTTGATTTTTACCTATTCAAAAAAATGGATCAAAGAACCTGTATCAAACTTTGTGTGAAAAACAAAATTAAGTGCATGGATGCATTCCGGATGTTGACTGTGGCATACGGAGAAGCTACCTTGGACCGAAGCTATGTTTATCGGTGGTACAAAATGTTCTCAGAAGGCTGAGAAGATGTGAACGACGAAGAGCGTGCCGGACGCCCGAGCACTTCGAATGTGAAAGTTTTGCTGACAGTTTTCTTTGATTGCAGGGGCGTGGTGCATCATGAGATCTTGCCACAGGGAAGAACGGTCAATAAGAAATATTACCTGCAAGTTATGCGCAATTTGCGCGAAGCAATCCGCCAGAAACGCCCGGATTTGTGGAAGAACGAAAATTGGCTTTTGCACCACGATAACGGCCGTGCTCACACATCGTTGCTTGTGCGCGACTTTTTGGCCAAAAACAACACACTAATGATACCGCAGCCACCGTATTCCGCAGATCTGGCCCCCTGTGGCTTTTTCTTGTTTCCAAAACTGAAGAGGCCCATGAAAGGACGACGTTACGCTACGCTTGACGAGATAAAGATGGCATCAAAGGAGCAGCTGAACAAGATAAAAAAATGATTTTTTGAAGTGCTTCGAAGATTGGAAAAACCGTTGGCACAAGTGCATAATATCTCATGGCGATTACTTTGAAGGGGACAAAATAGAACACACCTCGTACAGTCTGCTTCGCACAAAAATGATCTAATACTTTCAAGAAGAAGCAACTAGATTGTCATAAATATTTTCACATTTATTTTCAAACCGTTTACCCCTATTTACGTAGGATAAATCTTTGAAGCTATAAAAACTAAAAATATTTTAATTAGATCCGTTTGAAGTTTTCGTTGAACAGTTTCCACCAAGAATATACATGGTTTTGTTGCCATCTCTTTCACTTCCATATATTTTGCCAGCCTTTTTAGCCATCGATCCCAATAGGTCTTGTGACAATTTATGCGCTGACCTTAGAGAAGATGCCCATTCTTTTAGGCCTATTTCATCCTGAAAAACTACAAGTTAGTATGCATTAAAAGTTTTAAAGTAGGTGCCATTTCTTACTGAGTTTGTCAAAATAATTCTACCATCTCGGCTTCCATCATTTATCCGAATTTGAATGCAATTTTCGTTTTTATGTAGAATAAAATCGGATGAGATATCTTCTACTTGGTCCATAAATATCAATTCTGGTTTGTTATTTCCACTTTCAGAATGAAGTTCTAGCCTAAAATAAGTGTTAGGGGAAAAACAAGAAATTTAAAAATCAATTTTTCAAATGTGCCTTATAAATAAATGATTATAATTAATAGACTTTTTTTATATCAAATATATCCATATACACATAACTTAATCTTGATATAAACGACCATATCGACGCATTTCCGCAAAAGTATCGTACATATATAGGTATGTTAAATTTAAATTCAATGTGACTAGGGCAATAATAAATCAGCAATAGCTTGTAGCCCTGTGAAAATAATAAAATAAATAATAATAAGAATAATAATAATAATAATAATAATAGGTAATAATAATAATAATAGGTAGGTAATAATAATAATAATAAAACCCGACAACACATTAAAACAAATATTTAATAAAACTAAATCAAAAATTGCTCCCACAGACAAAAAAGATATAGTATAGCGAATACCGTGCAATGGAGATGGCAAAAATAATTGCCATAGTATTTATATAGGTACGACCAAATCAAAATTAAAAACTAGACTGTCACAACATAAATCTGATTTTAAATTAAGGCACTATACGAATACACAAAAAACAGCACTCATGTCCCACACTCTCCGAACTTTGAAGAGACAACTATCTTGGCGCAAGAACAACACTACAGGAAGCGCTACATGATGGAAATGTTACATATAATCAACACACCGACAAAGATTAGAATGAATTACAAAAAGGACAGGGAAAACTGCGCACTAATATATAGACATTTGTTAGGGAAATAGGTTTAGTTTTTAACTCCACATCACTTGGCGCAGACGTGTCAAAATGTATGTTAATATTTAAATTTTAAAAAATTGTATTGTAATGTTGATTGTTTTTGATTTTGTTTAGTTGCCCTGAAGACGGTTGCCGAGGAGCAACCGAAATATATTGGTCAAAAAACATAAATTGTGCTTTTTAATATCACCCAGACCTTGAGCCTGCAAAACAGCAAATATTCGATTGGAAAGGTCGCTAACACCCACAAATTAAAAAAATATATAAAAAAAACTTTTTTTTTCGGTACTTTTTCAATCAATTAGCCTTTTAGTAAGTCTCTCTGCCCCAGTGTCACTCATGTCTCTCATTATGCGATAAAACAAGCGTTTCACGAACAATTCGTAATGTCATCATCTAATTTGTTTTTATTTAATTCAAAACATATAAACCTGTTCCTCGATAACTAGTGAGATGTTCAACAGGGGGGCTTAGCTGGGGCCCCTAACGGCCTTTATAAGGTTAGTTAGTTGCGAATAAGCGCAAGCTAATAAGCAACCCCAGACAAACAGCGGGTACACCGGAGTCGGTGTACTGATAAGACGTTTGTCTGGTCGTCTTCATAATTGTAGCCTCACAAACCCGGGTTCCCTCACGACTACCTACCAACTTCCCTCCCCACACAATCTCACTCCGGTGCTGGACTAAGGTGTCATCCGACCCGTGCCGATAGTCAGCCTAGCTGGTGGCCCGGATTAACAAATAGCCCAGTCTCCCACGGAGGGTTCAGGCAAGTGGCGACCGCCTGTCCTAACCACGCCTTACCCCGGAATGGCGGATCTCTGCCAAGGTAAACCTTTCTTTATCGGCAACTCGTGGGATTCTATTATGAGAAAAAATATTATCACCAAACTGCCGCAGGATATCCCTGCCTCAAGTGCCGCAAGGCACTTTGACAATCGACTCCTTAACGGAGGGCGACCCCAGGTGGGACCAGCCCCACCCAGGAGCGCACCTACCGCCATCAGGAGTGCGTCACGGACGCAGAATGTGGGACAACCCCAACATCGACCAACTGTCCCAGTCCGGGAACGTGGGCTACCTGCAGGACCATCCCGAGCGGCTTGCCCACCAGCTTGTCCTGCCAGCGAGAGGACAACCAGGAGTCCTTGACGACCCCAACGGGAAAGGCCTGTCGGGGCCCAAGGTCAAATGGTACCTCAGGTACCTTCAGCAGGGTATGACCCCTGATGAGGCAATAAAGAAGGCGAAGGAGCCTCGACCAGCGGCACAAAACACTGCACCTGCCAGCAAGCGGCCGAATAGTACCCTCACCCCTCCGATGGATACCCCGAAAAGGTCCATGCCAGAGGGCACCAAAGAGGCAGCGGCACTCCCTCCCGTCCCCCAAGGCCTGATAAGCCAAGCACATCGAAGGCGCCGGCGACGAGGAGACCAACGGGAAGGGCGTGCCCCTTGATACTAGGGTAGAAGACGACATTCCCGCGGCGTACAATGTCACAGTCTTCTACCCTAGAAGTGCAGAGAGAAGCACTGAAGAGCTTCTTATGATGCTGGAACGCCAGAATAGAATGGAAATCGATGCCTGGAAGGTGATCTCTCGAAGGAACGACTTAGGCGGTGCACAAGGCTATGACCAAAGCTGCACCAGAAAGTAACCTAGCCCTGAGGAAATGTAATAACACGTACACTTCCGACGACAGGGATAAATTAGCATTACTCTTTGAAACACTTTTGCCTGGGAGCCCACCCTTGGTGGAGGATGCGTCCACCCCAGTAGAAGTAGTGTCCACCCCGAGACACCCCAGACCGAGCGCAGACTGGGCAATTGCCAAGTCGCTAGTCGCTCCGAAGAGACTTAAATGGGCAATCGGGACCTTCCAACCATTTAAGTCACCTGGTCTGAATGGTATCTCACCATCATTCCTGAAGCAGGGACTGGACCTTCCCAAACCCGCTTAAGGAAACTAATGTTGAGTAGCCTAGGACACATCCCAAATGCGTGGCGTAGAGCTAGGGTGGTCTTTATCCCCAAAGTAGGGAAGAAAGACATCACCAACCCCAAGTCCTTCAGACTTACCAGCTTAACTTCGTTTTGTCTTAAAACATTGGAAAAGCTGGTGGACTACCATATTAGGAGCACAGTTCTCAAAGACTGTCTGCTGCAATCCTCGCAGCACGCATACAGGGCAGGTCGTTCAACAGCACTGTACCAACTTTGTCCCACTCTTGAAGGGGCAGTAGACAACAAAGAAGTGACTATCTGCGCCTTTCTAGATATAGAGGGAGCCTTTGACAATGCGTCCCTCGATGCTGTCTTAGCGGCCCTCGCTAGAAGGAATATTGAGGCAACAACAAGAAGGTGGATTGGAGCTTTGCTGAGCTCCAAACAGGCAATGGCGACAATTGACACTAGCACAGTTACTGTCGCAACAAACAGAGGATGTCCGCAAGGTGGAGTTTTATCTCCTCTACTGTGGAGGCTACTAGTAGATGAACTATTAAGGAAATAGAGGAATGCAATGCCAGGGCTATGCCGATGACATAGTAATAGTAGCCAGAGGGAAATTTAAAGAAACGTTTTGCGATATTGTCCAACTCGGACACAAGATAATGCTTGATTGGTACATGGAAGTTGGGCTTAACCTCAACCCCTCAAAAACAGTCATTGTTCCCTTTACAAAGAAGTACAGAAGATGAGACAAATCATGCCGGGAAGTTAAGTACCTCGGCGATACCTTCGACAGGAAACTAAGGTTTGCAACCCACATGCAAAAGACAGTTGACAAGTGCCTCAGGGCTCTCTTCACCTGTCGGAAAATTGCAGGGAAATCTTGGGGGACTTCCCCAATGATTGTGAGGCCAATACTCACATATGGTTCAGTAGCCTGGGGTAAAAGAGCGAAGCTCATTACCGCACAGGAACAGCTACAAAAGCTGCAAAAATTAGCGCGCATATGTATGACAGGAGCAATGAAAACCTGTCCCACTACGGCACTGGAAGTTCTCATGGAACTCATTCCGCTTCACTGCGTAGTGTTAAGAATCACATCTTCTGGTAATGGTAGCGACCGCATCCTCATCTCTAGGGATGCAGCAAAACTACTAGTCGAACTTCCCCTGAGTTCACACCCCAGGGACGAAATGACAATAGAATTCATCTTCGAAAATAACTTCTCTGGTCACTTGAGCAACAAGAAAAATGGACCACCGTGAAGGAAGTACACTCCATGGCAAGTCACACCATAGCGTGCTATACGGACGGATCCCTAACACACCAAGGCACTGGCTTTGGAGTAATAAGAGCACGAATCAAATACAATGAATCTTTATGCCAATACACCAGCATATTCCAAGCTGAGGTATGTGCCATAGGACGGTGTGCAGAGCTCAATACGAAGCGCGGGTACACAAACAAGGACATTGCGATCCTCTCGGACAGTCGAGCGGCAATTACTGCACTCTGTAGTGATAAAATCACCTCGAAGCTGGTTCGAGAAGTAAGAACAACAGGCTGTCACTAAGATGGATCCCAGGACATATAAACATATCCGGGAGTCCCCTTATAGGACTCGAGCCTTATTGGCAGACACACAATCAAAGATTACCTAAGAAAGGAAGAGGTACATATGAGGCAAGCCTGCTGGGAGAACACCACAATCCAAAATCTTGATCGTCAATTATGACATGAAGAGGTTTAAGAAACTTATACCAATAGAAGAATTCACTTACCAGTTTACTAACCGGACATTGCAGACTAATCACCTATGTAATATAGGGATTGTTAACAGCAAGACGTATAAATCCAGGTGGGTCGAGGTAATTTCAGTTAAAAGTTTGCAACGCAGTGAAGGAGACCCCTCAGACACCACAAAGTATGTATATTCTTGATCAGGATCATGATCTGAATTGAAATACGCCTGTATGTCTGTCCGTCTATCCTCCTGTCTGTTTATATGTAAAGTAGTCTCTCAGTTTTAAAGCTATCTTGCTGAAACTTCACCAAAAGTTATGTAGTTATCGAAAGATTGAAAAAAAAATATCAGGCCGCAGTTTTTGAGCATATCGCCTTGGATTCTTCCAGATGGCGTTTTTTAATTATAATCGAATTTTGAATTAAATTTTATCCAAATCTTTATCAGATAGCTGCCAAAGGAGAGATCAATAAATATATATAAAAATAATTGAAAAAATTTATAACGTTGTTGTTTTTCATCCCACGAGCATGATTTTTAGAATATCCTTTTCTTAACTAGCCTT